TTTTTTTATTTTAATTTTCAAAACAAAAAAAAACCAAAAAAAAAAAAAAAAAACCCCCCCCCCCCCCCAAAAAAAAAAAGAGTTCAGGATTGAAATCTGTTTTAGGCTCTGAAATGTGTCAAAAGGATACACTTTAGCTAAAAATATTTAGTAAACCTTGTAAAGATGAGTAAAAACATGATGCAGATGAAGGTAAGACAATGATTTGTACGTCCCTGATGCTGGATATCATCATAATAGTCATTTTCATAAACAGTGCAATCACAGTCTGAATCAACAGTCTCCATAAATAACTACTCAATAAATATTTGCATCTGAGTTGTAGTACAAAAAAAGGAAGAAAAAAAAAAGAAAATTAAAATGCAAGCAAATTGCAAAATGTTATTAGATGTTAGATAATATAAATAGAAGAACAACAACAACAACTAAACAAGCAAACGATCCTCTCCTGCGCTGCAGAATCGGTCGAATATTCAATCAGGTGTTCGCCACATTCAGGACACACACGCATCTGATTCAGTTTGCAGCAACGCATCCCCCACCTGCACTTGCCGGGATAAAAAAATAAGAATGGGCAGCAATGGAGTCTCTGAGGGAATACCAACAGAAGCAGCAGGAAATCCCTTACCTCGGTTGCCATGCTGCAGTGAGAGGGTGCGGGCTCTGTCCCGTGCTGGACGCCGTTTGCTCGTGTTGTGCGGGACAACGCCGCTGCCGTTGCTGCTGCTGTAGAGCAACGAGCGCGCGAGCTGCCGTGCACGTGTTGGCGAATGTCAGCGAGACTGCGGGATGCGGTTCTGGCGGTACACGGGAGCCACTTGCACAAGAATCTCCTTTAGGACTTCTTAGTAACAAGCAGCTCTCTCTGCATATTCTAAATGTCAGCGGTGTATTTAGGTTAATGCATGGGTTCTCTTGTGGACTATACCCTGTGATTAATTAAAAAAAAATAAAGGGATGCACAATTACTTTTAACCGAGGATTTTATTTGAGAAATATTTATTTTACATGGAAAAACAATACAGTAATAATACTGTAGACAGTTGGGTTTTTATCAGTTTTAATAAAATATGGTCACATCAGCGCATGTTGTTTATGCTGCAATGCATTCTGGGTAAATTATGTATTCTTCGTTCGATTATGCAAGCCAAAACAGCAATGGGTAATGTTCCTTTTCAATTGAACCAGAGCGCACTGAAATTGATGGGAATGTAGAAATCAGTAGGAGTAAACTGAGGAACAGGAAAGAGTTGGACGAAGAAGCTGATGTTCACTGCTGCCACCTTCAGCTTCATAAACGAAACAATGAACGACATGTACTTCTGGTCGGACTTTGTGATCCGATAAGTAGTTCTGTAGGTCGCTCAGTGTCCGTTTCAGTCTTCAGTCCGGTAACACATGTTTAGGTTCTGGTCTTTGGTTCGGTGTCAGGTAGGTGGTTTCTCATTCATTATCGGTGGCTGTAGCAATGGCTCCTTTAGCATGTAAAAGAGCTGCTCGTCTCTGATGTTTCTCCCAGTATCTTTCGTTTCCTAGCCGGCAGCGAAGATTTGGCGTTTTGTGGATTAAAAACTGCCAGCACAGTATTTGATTTTAGCTGGAGAGGGTAACAACGACCTGTTAGATCCTTAATCGGTTTTGCTTGTACAAGCCCTTCAAAATCTTCTAGAAAGAAATGTTTAAGGCAAAAATGTCAGTCCTTCGGAAGTCAGCCCTTTCCCACTGTGCTCTATTTTTTCATGTGGGAAGCCATTCAGAATCACCTCACTATGTTTGTTTTCATTTTAATTACAGTCAATAGTGACGCAGCGTCCCATTGTCTAAATTTACACCAAACACAATACAATAAACAACAACTCATGTAAAGTTAGCATTGCTGTGTTTTCTCGGTAGATTCCAGTACAGAACAAACCCAACCATGTCATCAGCCCAGCATACATTGACGAAGCTGAGCAACCTCCATGGGTAAAAAAAATATTAAGTATTTGTAAGTATTTTAACAATAACTTGTTGCATTTTACAGTTTTGAGAACCAAAGTCAAAAAGACTGATTAGACTCCGCTGCAATGCCGCCATTTAAACAGTTTTTTTTTTTACTGGTTGACATGAGTAAATCTTTGTCATTACAGACAGGTCTACGTTCTATTTTGTTTAGTATGAGATTGATAAAAAAAATAGTATGAGATTAATTACTATTAAGTTATCGCTCACGCAGCTGTGTATGTTGCCCCACAAAGTCCTGGCATTCATGCCTCAAATATATTTTAAAAAGCTCCTCTGAAAATGATGTTACTGATGCGACAGTATCAGAAGGACAGAACGGCAATGATCCACACAGAAACACCTCTACCAGCTGTAATTCCTACTCCAATAAATATCCTTTTAATGCAACTTTTAAAAAATGGTCAGTTTTCCCATTCTAAGTATTTAAAAAATACATACTAACATAAATCCTGCGAGGTTTCTAAAATATAATGAAAAGATACACGGTTAATGGAAACAAAGGCATAAAATGTTTCCTATCTTCAAAGTATAACTTCTGACCATCATATATTGGTAGAGTTCACAATTGTTTAAAATTAAGTTATGATATGTCAACTTCAGGTCTTTTCTCGGTTAATCTAGTGCTAATTCTCCAAAGTTAGAGTAAATAACCTTTCTGGTGAACACATTTACAGTAACGCAACATCAAACTCTAACAAACAGAGACAAAAATCCAGAAATAAATGAACAGAGCTTTGACAAAATGAGCAATCATTATTCAGAGCTGATATTATTTGCCAGCATCCCGCTGCTTGCTCCAGATTGCTTGAAAAGATGCACTTCTAATCACACTACCACAGACTCCTTTGGGATGTGTGTGTGTGCGTGTGTGTGTTTATGTTCACATGGTTTTCTTTGTATGTGTATGTCTGGGATTACAATCTGCTCTGTTATCTTCTGCTCAACAGTTTCAGTCACATGCCGATATCAGGCTGACATTTTCTATGTTAGCACATAGCATGGAAATTGCAGATTCTTATTCATTTCTGCCTGTCGAAACACACTGTGAATATGTTGGCACATATTTATTCAGTGCCTGTGGTTGTCCTGCTTTAATGAGCAGCTTTGTGAGGATATTACAGTTTCAAAAATCCTCAATCCGACTTGTGTTTCCAGTTTCCCGCTCAAAGATGACCTCAGATGGATGAGGTGATTTGATTTTTTTTTGTTAACATTCTGTAAGCTTCGTTCAGAAACAACCCAATGTGTTACTTGGTTTCTGCAGGTCTGAGATGAACACATGCATAAGGGCTTTGACAGCAGAGAAAACATCCAAGTCTGCTGGGGCACTCAGACACACAGCTGACCATTGAGCTAGTGGAACTTTCATACAAGCTTGTCTAGTTTGTTGCCATCACTCTTTGCCCACCTTCACACAGGTCATGTTGCTATGTGGAACTCCAGCATTTGTCAGAATTAATGTGCCAAATGCCACTTTTTCCATTTCCATTCATGCTTAAGCGAGCTATTACTACATCAGAATATTAATACAGACATGTTTAAAAATGGTCGCCATGGTAGATCAAAGAAGGAAACTGCACACAATCAGCATTAAACCTATTAGTTAATGCAATCTTTCCCTTGATGGAAGGTTATTAACGTTCCAACAAGTGTTTTTTTGTAGACTTTAAAGGAAAGCGATAAAACTGCTGACATTTATGTTCAGCTAAAGAAAGCTGAAGCACATCAACGCATTGATTTGTTCTGTCCACCCACACAATTGATTGGGTTTGTGGTCAAATGGTGATATTGTAACGTGTGTCATCATATTTATGGTAACTATCTTTTAAAGTGTTATAATCTGAGCTAGTGTGAACATATAGGCATTAAATAAGAGGGCCCCCAGGACTGAACCTTGGGGTACTGCATTAGTATGGAGTAGTCAACAGAATTGCATGTTGACTGTGATATTGTTTATTCCCAAAGCTCTTGAACAGAATGCTTTGGGGATTTCCCGCCACTGCTTAGGTCACAGTCTTTTGACACGTCTTATTGGGAGAGCTAATAATCACAGAATCCAAGAATGAAACAAATTGATTACACAAAAGTTACAGCAACAAGTAATGCGCCCACCGAGCATGCAGAACTTGTAAAACGTGTTGTAATTATTGTCACCGCATTTAGTTGTATCATTTGTTGAGTCTTTGGTGGTGGTATGACAGGACAGCAGCTGCGGTGGCTAGTTTTTAATGATTTGGGTGTTTATACTTGTTTACAAAACAGTCCGAAATGTATAATCTGCTGCATCCAAAGTGAGATGGGAAAGGTCTTTGGGTCTCGGTTTGGAGACAAATTCCAGCTAATGTAAGCAAGACCAAAGAAAAATGCTGGGTTATTACATTTTAACTCTAATATGCATTCCTTTTCATACTCGAATACGAATGAAACAAAATGCTTTGGTATTACATCTCATTCTGGTCTTTCTGTGTGTCTAAATCTGCCATTCAGCAGAAAAATAATAACTTTGCCACAGCCTTAAATTATCATAATGACCCACAGCACTATTCTCGCATACACACACACACACGCACATATTGACTTTTTTTTTTTTTCACTATACAATTTCATGAACTATTTATTTCAGCAAAGCATTCACGGTTTCTGACCTGCTCCAAAACTGACAGCTTCTGTTTGAAGCTTTTGCTGTGAAATGTTGAAGATGGTGATATTGACCACCACCGCAAAGGAAATGTGCTAAAGAAAACACTCTTACTGCAGTTTTCTTTCCCCTTAACTCACTATGTTTGAGTAGAATTAAATACTTTGACAAGTTTGCTTTTGGTCCATAAAGTTTGAAACTGTTTATCAAATCACCACCTGCTCCAGCTTGTCCCAGCAGCCTACAAAAAAATAAATAAAAAAAAATAAGTGTATTGTGATAATATTTAGAACTTTTCATGTGTCTGTGTGTGTAAAAGAGTGAAAGTACAATCCTGGAATACTGACCTGTCTCCAATTGCAATAAAAACCAATAATAAAGCAAAAAAAAAAAAAAAGAACTTTCTTTGGAGTTTTTCTGAAGTGCACTGTCAAAATTATTGTTTTTTTTCTGAGGTTTTAACACTTGAACAACTTTATTAATGACGTACTGCCCCATCAGTTTCTGCTCCAATATCACATGTTACATTGACAAGGGAGTCTTAATATTTTTTGCTCATGCATGCAGTCTTTTCTGTCTCCAAGCCATCTGGGCTTTGTGCCACTGCAAACACCCTCCTCCTATTGACTTAACCACAAGTTGAGAATCTCTCTTACATACACAGATACAGAGATTCTGTTTGAGGAACATAGTGAAAGAGATCTTGTTCTCTTTACAACATGACAGGAAATGAAAAAGTTTCAAACCAGCCCCATCTCCCGCCCACAAAAATTACTTGGACAAGTCAACAGCAAATAAACATAGCCTTTTAATGCTTCCAAACAATTTGGATACTAAGGACAAACAGAATCAACCTCAGCGAGTCAAATATGTCTGTGAGATTGTGTTTGGAAGCTTCCGGGACGTATCGTCTGTATCTTTTTGACCACATACGGGATTATTTTGAGTCTTGTCCGTGTGTGTATGTGTGTGTGTGTGTGTGTGTGTGTGTTTTTCTCCAATTGTTGGTCCTGAATCCAAGTTTACTTTTCATTTTACCGCCAGCGGACATCCTCGTATCTGATTTCAATGCTGGCTGGCTCGACCCTGCATACCAGCAGGGATGGCGGTTCAGAGAGCGCAAGAAAGCTGTCAGACTCAAAATCATTGACATAGTCAAAATGTCCAAGGTAAAGAATGTGGTTTACAGTTAGAAAACTACCATGGAAAATTAAATCAAGAAATACATTTATATAGGCAAAATGGGCAAGACACTGGAACATCAGAAACTAGACGCAAAAACAGATCTGCTTCTAAATGAGCTTGATCAAGCTATGAGAGCGCCTATGCAATGATATACTGTGCACATGGACGATGTATCATTGCCACAATTAAATGTATGTAAATGCCACATTTACTACGCATGGTTATCAGAATGAAAGTTCATAAATTTCTGTGATATACAGCAAGAGGAAAATGCTTGACACAGACCGAAGCTGTGTGCATTATGCTGATTGTGTGGGAAAAACTCCCACTTCTTGAAAGCTGATGGTAAATTTTGGAACAGGAGAGGAAATGGGATAAAAAGAAAAAAGAAAACTGCCAAAGAGCTAATTTTGGGAAAATATGTGTCAGGGATATCACAGAAATATTCTACCTTCTATAATTTCCCACAAAAGAAGTTATATTAAATTG